AGTGGCACTGTGATGATTCTTCAAGTAGGACCAACGTTCTCCGCACTTTGGTCTCCACGGGGCCGACTCCACTTTCCTCCACCGACATCGACTTTCGTCAACTCGCATGAGCTCTCCAGCCTCTTTAAAGGTCTTGGTTATGGAGTACTTCATGTGAAAAACACAGGGAAAATGTTCAAACAGCAGCTGCAGCTACCATTCTCCCTTTTCCTCTGTGCCTCAGGCCAGATGCCACATCAGCCTGTGACGTAGTAATGACCCAGCGCCTCTGGATACCGCGCGTGCGTCAAGCGCTAACCCCCATCTACTTCACAACATCACAACACTCTCGCACCAGCGCCTCCCTCCCATCGGCTGCCAGCACCGCGCCACGTGTCAGCTAGCATGTTACTAGTCACCACAAGCCAGCGCCTCGCCGGTCGCAAGTCACCAGCGCCCCACCACTCACCTGTTGCCAGCGCCTCGCCCCCCGCCAGCAGCCAGCGCCTCGCTGCACTCACACAGCCAGCGCCTCGCCACTCGCGAGAAGCCAGCGCCTCGCAACCTGCCAGAAGCCAGCGCCCCGCCACCTCTGACCAGCCAGCGCCTCGCCTGCAAGCAACCAGCATGCCACCATCCGCGTGCCGCGGCAGCCCGGCGCCCGCCAGCCATAGCGCTAGTGCTAGCGCTAACGCGCGCCCAGCCCGGACTTGGGCCTTACGGTTTCATCAGGGCTGCCGGTAGTATAGTGTCATTAATGATGTTTGTTCCGTGCTGAGTACAGGCTCCCTACCTTCAGGGCATTCTCGCACCGCGACTTTCTGCATGAACTCCACGCGCAAAAGGGCAATCAATCTTCTTTCATATAAATCTCTTCCCCTTATCAACCTTGCTGACGTGGAAAGATTCTGTCAGTGACAGAACACACTGGCGCGTTGGGTTTTCTATCGATGGCGTGACGTCAGTACAGAATAGGCATGCTATTTTTCCTGTCCTCTTTTTTTCCCCCCCTATGTCAGGATTGGGTAATTTACGCGCCTGCTGCCTTCCTGTTAGTGGTGGAAGTCCCTTTTTTCTTTTAAGCAGTCGTCATACTTTTTTGGGGGGCCTACTGTCTTCACCCATATGGAACGCCCGGTCATTGTAGCTGTATTTGGCACAACTTTCGGTCCAGATGCAGCGATAATGACCGGACGTTCTATTCGGGTGAAGACGGTAGGGTCAAAGGAAACCAAAGATGAAGCAGAGTATTTTGGCAGGCTTCCCGTGAAGAGAACCCACGGTCATCATGACTTATGAATGTATACAAGCTATTTTCCCGGCCTGATACGGTCATGATCAGCTCGCACTGTGCTCGGGAAAAGACAGTGGTGTTTTATAAAGTAACCAGCTTGCCTGACCCTATCTTGCCGCAGATATCTCGTCAAGCAATAGGATCACCTATCCCCAATCCTCGATCCCCTATCCTCGACGTCCCTGATCCTTGATGGGGGACTGAGGATCGGGGATCAAGGATTGGGGAGGGGCCATTGAGGCTAGGGGAGGGGTCATTTTGAGGGTAGGTAGGGGATCATCGAGGATTGGGGTAATATGGAGTAGGATAGGATATTCCCAGACCTCGATCCCTGATCCTCTATAGGAGATCAAGGATTGGCTATCCGTGCTGCCCTCGATCTCCTATCCTTTCCTGGATAGCTGATCCTTGATCCCGGATCCTCTTGCTCTTCCTCTAAGATCACATTCTCCCTCCTCCTCCTCCTCTATCCTTCAAGTTCATGGTTGAGGAACTTTGCGGCACTGCCAGTTTGATGGCCTCATGTCCTTACCTCGACGAAAATCACCTTCTTCCCTTGCAGGTGTTAATCCAACCAAGCAACCAACCAAGCGGTCAGAGAGAGCTCAGCAAGCAATCTAAAACTCATGGCGGCGGCTCCTGAAATGGAAGAAGAGCATGGTCACACTGAGGCCGGTCAACGTCTTGACTTTCATACTGCTTTCCACGGAAGCGTGTTTGAGAAATATCATGTGCTTCCTCTTCAACTGGCTACCCTGGATGCCCGTGGGGTGGTCTATAGGCCATCCTTTATTAACATAGGCCGATTCATGCTGCAACCAGGAAATGTCGACCTGCTGAAGGGGGATCGTGAAATTTTCATGAATGAGTTTGTCAAGTTTTGCAATGCCAAAGGTACTGCACTTAACATGTCAGACTGCCGTGATGCTGTGGACGTTGCTGCTGACTACATTACTGTGTTTGGCGACCTCGAGGAGGGAGAGGAATCAGGGGATACCTCTCAGGATCTTCTAACAAGGATGGGTTGTGATGCAAACCCTTACACTTATGTCCGGGTCGGTATGGATTTGGCTTTCTGCATGGTGGAGTTTGCGCTCTCAGATTCTGTGCGGCTGTTGGCATGAGTGTTCTCGCAGTCAGGGATAGATGTCACCCATGAGTGTGATGAGACCCTAGCCCGGAAACTGTTTGACGTTTGCAGAGCAGGTGCTCCTGACGAGGACCATTTGGCCATCGATACACTTGTGCAGCTCATTGATTTTGATCTGGTGGGAATCGACGGTCAGCACTTCTCGCTGCGAATTATCCTGACCATGGGGTATAACATTGTGGATGGCTGGTCTGTGGATGTCAGAGATCGTCAGATGGGCACCCTGATCACGACAGGTGCAGGTGAGATGTTTGATGCCATTGATGACTTACCTGATGAGACAGGTAATGAGGTATTCAGTGAGATTGATGAAGGTCGGACGGTGCTGATCATTCGGAATGGCAATGTGGTCAAAGAGCGGTACAAGCCGCACGGTGATGTCCCTACGGTCCTCACAAGGGTCACAACGTCAGCGGATTCTTCTTCTTCTTCTCGCTTTTATAAGCTAGGAGATGGTTGCGTGCTCGATGAGGATGAGGATGTGCGTTTGTACTTTGAAGACTGTTGTTCTCGGGGCATCATCTCCACCTCAAACGTAGGAGAGGAAGAGATGAAATCCTTGTATCATCTCCGCGAAGCTTCTTTCGTAAAAGAGAATGGAGATTCGATTTCCTATTGCGGCAAATCTGAGTTCGAGCGGTTACTGCCTGTCGCTGCTTCCATCACTTATCTGTATGACGGCTGGGTGTCTCGGCGCGTGTACTCTAGCTTTGACTCAGTTGTTCAGAATTTCAGGCTTCGCGCATCATCGCTGCAAGAGTCGCAGCAAAGGGATTTCCAACAATTTCAAAAGAATTGCAAACGCTTCCACCGGATCTTCAAGGGAACCTGCTGGGATAGATTGCCCAAAGATTTGATTGTGCGGATAATAGAGATGGTGGTGCAGCCACCACGCCACATAGTTCTACCTTGGAAGAGCGCTTGGACCAGCTCTCACGGCGTACGCACCGCCAACCACGGGGGGGTCAATGTAACTCTGTAGCAGCAGCAGTTAATATTTGGTGATATGGCTGGACTATGTCTGCAGACGTCCTTGTTCCTGTGGTGGATAGAAAGACGTTTCAACCTCCAGTGCTCCATAAATGAGATAATGAAAATTATGAAACGTATTTTCTGGTACCAACTGTTGGTGGCGACACAACACGTGAAGAGGCTCTTTAGAAGAAGAGGTGTGGATTCTTTACTAGAAGGGTGACAAGCCTGCAAGCAGGAAAAGAGGAATGAAGTCTTTAGAAGAAATGAGATGAAACTGGAGGAGGAGGGTATGATGAAGATCTCTGACTTTCTTTCACTCCCTCTCTTTCCCGCTCTTTTTGTGCTTTTCTATGTTGCTGGCACTCGTGGTCTATCGGGGTCAACTGCTGCTGCTGGTGCTGCTGATGATACTGTGCCAGATTGTCTCTGCTATTGGTCACGCTGTGATGTCTCTGCGGCGATGTTTCTGCGGTGATCAGTGTGATGCCGCTCCTGCTGCGATGTTGTTGGCGGTACGATGATCTTGGCTCTGTCTTGTTGCTGCTAGTGCTGCACGATTGTGGCACTGATATATGCCTCGGTCGGCAGCTTCCATGCTACATCACCGCTTCTGCAGATGTCATCCTGCTGTAGTGGTGTGATGCTGCTGTGTTGCAGCTGAGAGCACCTGGTGCTGTGCAGCTGTGGGTGCCATTGTACTTTTTTAGTTCCTTTGATGGTAAATTGCTTCAATTCTTTGCAGTGTTTTCATCCTAGTCACGCTGCTGCCGGTCCTATGCCGGTGTCACGCAGCTGTTCTTACTCTTCTTGTGCTCCTACGCTGCTGTGTCGCTGCCGTTGTCGTGCTCTTCTCATGTTGTGTGATGCTGCTGTGTTGCTGCTGAAAGCATCCGGTACTGTGTCTGTCATTGTACGATGCTGTGACGCTTACGGTGGTGTCCATGCTATGTTTCGCAGTGTTGTTCTTGTGTTCCTGCTGATGTCTGGTCCTGCCGCTGTTCGTGTGCTGGTGTCAGGTAGCTGCTGGTACTGTCGTTCCGCAACTGCCGTGCTGAGCTTTCTTCCTCCCCTCTCTGGCAACTTCCCCTCCTCCTCTGCCATGCTGTGACCGGCCTCAGCTGATTGTTTTTGCCCGTTTCCGCATTGGATCGTTCTTTCTTTCGTTTTCGTTTTGGCAGAAACAATCTGGTACTGATGTTTTGGTGTTTCTCTAGTAGCAGTTCTTTAACTCTCTACGTGCTTGCTGTAATAAAGTGACGAGTGTGGCATAACCAATTGGGCAGAGTCTCGGCATATTATCATCGTGACTTTTTCAGCTTGATGCCTGGTCATAATGGGACTGCTGTGCGGTTGGATGATCACGTTTCTGGTAGGTGCTTTTTTTTTCTGTTCTTTGTTGCTGGAAAAGGTACATGTCAGCTGACGGGGATGCGCACAAACACACACGCACTGTGAGACACACACACACACACACACACACACACACACACACACAACCACGCAACGAAACAGTCTGGTACAGTCATGCTTTTTTGAGTGTATAGTGAATATGACAACACACACACACACACACACACACACACACACACACACACACACACACACACACACACACACACACACNCACACACACACACACACACACACACACACACACACACACACACACACACACACACACACACACACACACACACACACACACACAACCACCCAATGGGTCGGTGAAAGTATGACCAAACAATCTAGCACAATCCTGCTTTACTTTGTGAAGTTGTGTGTTGCAGACATGACAACACAAGCACACACACACACAAATAGAGGGACACCCCAAAGAAAGCCAATGCAAACATAGTCAAGAAAGACACACAACAGATATATTGTGCTTCATGTTGATTACTGTTTTGTGTGTCCTTGTCTGGCATCCCCTTGGTCTGTGATCCTGTCTAGATGCATGTGGGCAGATAGGCCATAGGCGTTTGCTGTTTGGACGGTCAGATAAGTCGGTAAGCAGGTACTGTGTTGTAGGGCTACCGGCAGTCGGGTTGAAGTAGGATGGGCCAGACTGGCGTCGGGGGCTTTTTGTGAAATGCTAGTGGGAACGAGGGGAGCAGCGCTGAAATTAGCGCTTGGCTTCTTCATCTTCGTCAGGCTTCAAGCGGCCGTAGCTGGAGCTGCACGGCCAGAGGAAGACAGCGCAGGCCAAGGGCTTGCCTGCCGCTGTAGATTATTACCACCATCGTGCCGCTGTGTTGTGGAACTTGTGGGGTTTGAGGGAAACACTGTTCATCAAGCGGCTCGTTGAATGTCTGCTGCCATATCGAAGGCAGCCAGCATCTAATTCATCGAAGTTCAGCTTTCTTTTCAGGGTGGTTGATAGGCGTTGCTGATTGGACATCTGGCACATGCCAGATCAGCGCCAGGATTGGGAGGTTCATGGGATGATTAGACGCTACTCTACTTACTAGATGGTGTGCTGTCACTGTGAGTGCTGTGGATTGAAGGAGGAAGGGGAAGTCTTACTGAACGTTCGCTGAGGAATCGCTGAGAGTTCATTGGGGGTGGAACTTAATTCGTGGTTGATATTCGTGGGGTTATTCAATTGAGATGGAGGAGAGAAGGGGGAGGAATAAATAATTGATTGAAGACACATTTTCTATCAATTTCCATTTTGGTTTTGGCTTCCGCTGTGCAATACCTCTCCCTGGTTTTGGTGTGAAATTTGCTCTCTCCAGTCTTCCTGTCATTGCAGACGTGTATGGGGACGTCTGAATGTGGGTCTGCGTTGCGAATCAATCGAGCACATGACACAATTTCCCTCGTCTACTCGTCCCTGAACATTTGAAGAAAAATGAACAGGAGTATACGTCCACCTTTACTCTGCCTCCTTTCATAATGTGCAAGTGCGCTACTAAGGCACACGGGGATGTGGGCAGCTGGCGCTAAACCACAATCAACACGGCCAGAGAGGCACGGTAAAAGGGGACCTGCAAGAACAAATAATTTTAAAGGGGTACCCCAAAGAAAGGCTTAGCCAAAGGAAAGATCGTTAAGAAAGGGATGTAACGGATTGGTTGTGCCCCACGTTGCTTGCTATGGGGGTAGAGTTAATTCATTGACAATGTGGGACTGCTTTATTGTCTGCAAAAGAGGCAAAGCTGCTTTAATTTTGGATCTAGTCATCTGGGTGGATCAGGGGCTGTTGAGGTGAAAATCGTAAACACGTGCACATGCACACTCACAAACAGTTGCTGACTATAGAGGCAAAACTGTTTCATTGGTGGATTGCCTCATCTTAAGCATGCTTCATCTTCTGCAATAGAGGTATAAGTTGCTGTGATTTTGGATCTTCTCATCTGGGTGGAACAGGGGATGTTGTGGTGAATATTTATAACACACGATCAGTTGTCTGTATGTATTCCTTGTTACTTGTTTTTTATTTAGTATTTTCTGCTAGGAGCCGGGGAGGAACGGGTAGGGCGGGGCAGGGCGCCGTTA